TACCCTTGTCTCTGCAACCCGGGATGGCCCCATCTCCCGTACCCTTGTCTCCGCAGCCCGGGATGGCCCCATCTCCCGTACACTTGTCTCCGCAGCCCAGGATGGCCCCATCTCCCGTATCCTTGTCTCTGCAGCCCGGGACGGCCCCGTTCACAAAGTTATCGGAACTCTTATACTGATGTTCTTCCAATCATGGTGCGGACATTAGATCACCTGGCCTAAATCATGCTGGGTTCACGTGAACATCTCATGGGCTGTACGTGCCTCACGCACACAAACACACTGTCCTTGAGACAGACTGTTATCTTGTATACGTGCAGGGCAGTAGTACACATCTTGTCCTTGAGACACTCACATGATCTTGGGTGTAAACTCATGAGTTTCAGTCCAGTTGCCCCCCCTCCACACTTAACTTAAAAGTGAACCCGGTCGCAACATCTATTATGATTCTAACATTATACAAAAAGTGTAAATTCTAACACAGTAACCCACAACACATCACAGCCCACTCATGAGATCCTCTACTTCAGATTGTGGAACCCATGAGTTGGTCAGTGACTGAGTTGCTATTAATGATTCCTTTTTGTGAAATGTCACATGTTTGACTACTAGTTGATACATCATAAATTCGCTTTTTTATGCTTATTTGAAGAGACTAGAATATTAGGTGTGTCCATCACTTGTGAGTAGGTTACCTTACCCTTGAATCTTTCACATTCAATTCATAAAGAGTGGTAATTAGGCACTCCATAATTTAATTTACAATTCTCTTTCATTTTGATTAGGCTCAGTTCTTTGCAATAACTGAAAGGTAGGTTTATTAATTTTTTTTTGGATGGGCTGTTAAATGTTTATGAAGGGCACCAACATGATAAAATAGAGAAACAATAAATCACCTTGTTGTAAAGCAAGTATGAAATGAATCCATTTGTATGAAATGAATAAAGGAAAATTTAGACAGTCACAATTGACTGAGTTATTACCCAACCGTAAGATTTTGTGAAAACACCATTACGCATTAATAAAGTTTTATCTTTCTCTAGGTAGCCATATCTGTATAGAGTATCTAGATTGTATTTTATGAATTGAAGCTTATCTTTAAGTTATAAATCTGTCTTTTGACAAGCTATAGTGGGTTGCTTTTCTTTTATTGAGCTCAGTTATGTGATGCTAAAGAACATTCATCTGTTCAATATGGTTGCATTTACTGCTCAGAAATGTTACTCATCAAACAAAAAGTGCTGCAGTATCAAACTACTTTCAGCTAAATAGTCACACTTCAGATCTATTGAAGAGATATATTGTACATCGCCATGATTTAAAAAAACACTTTCAAAAGAACCTTGTCGCTATGTATAGTATAAAATAGATATGCATCATAATGTGTTTCAACTATCGTCAAATATAGCAGTTTAATTAGATTAGGGACAATAAAAGCTAGATTTATAAATGATTGATACTCGGTGAGGCCACGCAAGAAGAGAGTTTCAAGGGATTTGATTTTATAGATGTAAATTGCAACAGATTAGAGTTCATGTGGATTGGTGTGATGTACTTGCACTTACTGGAAGCTCCATTTATGCTTTCTGGCTTTTACAAAGAATAATAATAATAATCCTTGTGGTTATTTTATCACTTCATCACGAGATGTCTCAAAGAGCTTCACAGAATATACTATAAAGTGGATTGACTGTGTATTTTGTGGGCAAAACGCAGCAGCCAGTTGCACACAGCAATGTGGAGTCCTGTAGCTCAGTGGTTAGAGCACTCGCTTTGCAAGTGAGAGACCTGAGTTCAATTCCAGGCAGGGCGAAACCTTGGGCAAGTTTCCTTACTCCACACGCCTAATAATAATCCCTCCAAAAAAACAAAACAATAATAACTTGTTCATTTTCAATCCACGACTGTCTGTGGGACATTGCTATGCGCAATTGGCTGCTGCGTTCGCCCACAAATATACAGTCAATTCACTTTACAGTATATTCTGTGAAGCGCTTTGGGACGTCTAGAAGACGTGAAAAGCGCTATATCAAATGCAAGGATTATTATTATTATTATTAATGTCCCTCAAACAGTCGTGGAGTGATCGACCAATTTTATTTGGGAGATTGTTGGCAAGGATACCGGGAAAAACTTCTTTTTTCAAATGATGCCATGGGATCTTTAACATCCACCTGTAAAGGCAGATGGGACCTCAGTTTAACATCTCGTCCGAATGACGGTACCTCTGACAATGCAGCACACCTCCAGCACTGCATTGGAGTGTCAGCTTAAACTATGTGAGGCCCCACATGGGGCTACAAACCACAACCTCTGACTCAGAGGCGAGAGTACTGTGCCAGGCTGACATAGGGTTAGTTAGTTAAAAGAAAACTTTAAACTTCCGTTTTCTTTAGAAAGTAAACGTTGGCAATTAAAAAGTGCCTGGAAAAAGTAAAGGGGCAATACGTAGTACATTCCAAATGAATTCAACATATTCGTCTAATTGTGTGCCTTCTATTTTAAAATGGCTGCCTGCCACATCAATGGCAATACAACTGCACAGTCTTTCCATACTAATGCGGTTAAGACATTTTTCTCCTTTGTAACCGTATAACTGTATTTCATTGCTATGTGTTGGTTTTACAAGTCTTCCAGAGAACTGACCCTTTAGGTTAGTATTAATGAACAAGTATAGATTAGTGCAGCCGTTAAATGAATAATACAAAGCTATTACTGCAAAATCTTTAGGGGGGCATTTTTGAAAGGAAAGAGTTTAATTTTTTGTGTGTACAAATTCAAACCTCTTGTAGCCCCTCAAAATATAATTTTCTTATAATGGGATGAATAGAATAAGCCTCTCTTATTCTGTTTTTATTAAAACAATCTGTATCTTCCAACCGAAATTAATTATGTTTTTCAGTGTTTGAATTTTGATTTCTTATGAGTAACAAATATCACTGGAAGTTATGGCACACATCAAGAAAATAGACAGCAAAATGTTTTGAAATCAACTCCGAAGTACTTTGATGAGTTTGTGTTGAAAGCATCAGAGACTGCTTCAAAAACACTCAAATAAAATACTCTACAAAATAACGAAAGAGTTCAGATGATGTGCAATTTCAAGATAAAAAACAAGCAGAATGTCATGATACAACTGCAATCTCAACCAATTTGTGATCTTCATCAGCAGGGATAAAGTGCAGCTTCAAATTTGCAATGCTAATTAATATAACCTGACTATGTTTTTGGTGTGCATTATTTTCATTGCATGTAAAGAGAAATTGCCATAATTTCACAAAGGCTCCAGATTTTAAACACCGCTGCACTGTAACTGAATTCGAACTTGAAGCTTAAAGAAATCTTTTTTCTAATGCATACAAGATGCCAAATTTATTTAATTTTAAGAGGATGACAGAAAGGCAAATCAGATTTTGTTTGTGATTAGCTCTGCATTTTCCTCCAGCAATCGCAAAAACTGTTTACGTTTACCAGAAAAACAAATTATGCAGTTGTTCCTTTCCCATTCATCATCCAGGCTATTACAGGTTTCATTATCTAGGCAGAGAAATGAGAATGCATTTATAATATTGCACTAAAATATAAATCAAATGTGGCAGAGATGCAAACCTGGAATTACTGCACTTGGTGAGCATTTAGTTTTAACTTTCCGCACCCCTAAAGTCTTATAAATATGCAATCAGAAGTGTACTACAAAGCTGTAACATTTGAGGGCTGAAGGGTCTGGTAAATCCCTCCCCATTCCAAATATGGAACTTGTCTCCTCAACCATATATTATTCTGTATTAGTCTTCGTACAGAATGTAGGCATTTTCCTCACTTTTTTTCTGAATTCTCACCTATTCAGCTGCCATTCTTTGATGCCTGCAGAGCCATAATGGGCAAGTGCACTCACTCATTTGGCTGCTATGTTTAGGTTAGAAATGCTATTTTAACCATATTTGAAGTGGTATTTTACCAGTTTAGAAGTGCTGTTTTATCTAATTAAAAGTGCTATTTTACTAAGCTAGAGTAGGCTATATTACGATGTCATTATGCCTCCGGTGACTTCACAATTTATAGTATTTAATTTTTCTATTAACAGGAACACCATCATTTATATATGTTACTCCCACATCATTTTTTTTTAACTGTTCTTGCAAATGGAAAATAGTAAAAATTGATGTGAGGTGGTGAGCAACAAGTTTTGCTTTTGGTCTTATTTGGTGCAATATTGTTCAATTTCAAACCATTTTCAAGCAAAGCACTGTAGGCGTGAATTTAAAACCATCGAAGACATACTTCGCATTCTTACAGATTGCATAAAGGCAATTGAGGGGTTTGTAATAAAAATACATACTTTTTTAATTCAGATGAAATTGATTCCCTCAGTTTATTTTCTGCAAAAAACGTTTTGTGTATGTCATTTTGTGAGTCAAACAATTGACAGCAGTCATCAGCAGATATGAAACCTATATGAATTGTTTTAAAATTCCTCCTTCCCAGGAGTATAACTATTTTTTGCCATGTCAATGACAATTCATTGCAAGTTTTATAATTGAGTGTATGTTATCCCAAAATTTTACAGTTTATACTGTAAGTGTTTCAAACAATATCAGCAGTTTGCAATAAGAAGTGGATTCAATAGTTTATTAAATTGGTTATTGCAACCACAATATGAACGATAAGAGAAAGAAAGTTGTCGACTGTTTACACACAATGTTATTTTGGTCTTTCTTCTGGATGTGAACAATTGCATCGCTGTTTTTAATTTGAAAACCGTTTTAGCTCACTTCACAAATTGTATTTTGTTGACTGCAGCTTAGCCTCCAGTTATACAGTGGCTGGCAGGCAGTTGCAAACACAAAATAAATAATTCAAAATAGTGTCAAATGGTGATGTTTTCAGTCAACATAACCAAAGTCACCCGCTGAAAGTAATGCATCATAGCGTTTTGATGATTTGTTAATACTTCATCATTTTAATGATTTTTTTATCCCCCTTCTCTTTTCTTTTGATAGAGTACAGTCTGGTTCATACCTGAGTACTGGCTGGTTCACGCTTGTCCTTGCTATGGATGTCTGTCATAAAATCCATATCTATGGTATGATTAATGCCACCCACTGCAGGTAAGATCACTGGAAGGATTTTTAGAGATCACACAGCACATTGCAGTTTTGAATTCCTTATTTGCTTTGTGGCTGGTGTTCTCTAGAAGAGTTTTACATAATATGGAAAAAGGAGAAAATCGCTGGACACTAAATTAAATAATTTGAATAAGAATTATTATCAATGAATAAAATTTGTTTATTTCTAAGAAATGTCAAAATTGTATCCTTCCCCAGTCACCTCTCCACTGCCAAAAAATTATGTGCATTAAGCATGACCAAGCAACAGCATAAATCAATCCATAACTTAGCACAAATTAGCACTCAATTGGCCACAAGGGTGGTTTGTGTCGTCCGCTCCACCATTGACGGCCGAACTTTCAGCCACTTCTCTCCGAAACTTTGGAACTCTCTCGCTCAATCCCTCCGCCTTGTCCCCTCCTTCCCCCTTTTCAGATCACATCTGAAGACCTTCCTCATCATCCGTCTTTACGGCTGCCTCCACCCTCTCCCCATCTTCGCATCAGGCTCTGCCACTGTTAAACCCTCTGAGATGCTACTCTACTATATAAGAAAAGTGCAATTCACATGCAAGTTGTTCTTGTTATAAACTGGAGAGAAGAAAAATTGTTCCATGATTTCTAATGCAATTTCTCAGTCAGCACAGAACAATGCTTATATTTGAAAACCTGCAAAGAATATTATGTTTTCAAAAAGGTGCAGATTACAAGGCCTATGTGAATTTTATTATGGAACATCTATAAATGCTATTGTTTGACAGCTTTTAAATTTTTTCACAATTTTACTTCCCTGTGCAACAATCCCCAGAATCATATACTTTATATGGCATGTCAAGTCTGGATTTAAACCTGCTTAGAATGTAATTATCTGTTCAGAAAATGTCTAGGTCAAAATGTCACTTATGATTATGCTTAGTCTCCACAGAACTGAAGGATACAAAAGAGTTCCTTATCATTACTATGAAGCTGGAAGTCGAGATGAATGTACAGAATATTTCCTGCATGAAAATGCCCCTTATGGAGGTCACAGGTTCATTACTGAAAAATCGGTCTTTGCAAAATGGGCCAAGCAACACAACATGACATTCTCACACCCAATGTGGTCACTCTCATGACACAGATTAGAATTGCATAAGAAAAAATGGTGGTATGATCCTAACATGAGTACTTTTATTACGTCTGTTAGATTCACTACACAAGAATTATTTTCTGCCTTCCTTCATTGACAATAGTGAACAGTTAAGGATGAACGGCTCCAGAATAAAGCCTTTCGTTAGACAGGGGTAAAATCATCAGTCACTTTGTTACACTAAAGCCTTCTCATTTCAGACATTTGATGATATGATAGAGTACTTTTGAAAAATGTAAGCACTTTAAATATTGACTATGAAATACCCAACAAGGTTCAGATAATGTTCTAGATTTAAATACTTTGTTAGCATTCAGTAAAATGCAGTTCAAAATAATATTTGGCCACTCCGTTGAATCTTCTTTCAGTTGCCTGTTTGTGAAAGTACTGTCCGGGAAAGGTCAAATCAATAATAAGATGTGATTTTAACCAGAGGAAGTGGCGTGTAATTGGTGATTGACAGTTCAAGTCGAACGACCAGAGCAAGTCACCCCATGATCCACTGCTTACTCTTGTCATTTAGGTTTTTGACAGTGAATTGATTTACTTGTGAAAATGATTATTCAAATATATCATGTTGGAAAGATAATGGATTGCTGCAGTGTTCATATACACTAATCATTATTATTAAGGCTGCTTTTTTTTCTAATCAACTTTAAATTTTGTATAGAATACTCATCTATTTAAAATGACAGGCTCTGTAAATGTGGTCTGACTGGTCTAAATTGTTATAGAGGGGTGAATTTGAACGTATATTGAGAATATGACAGCAAATACACAAGGTTTGCTTTGGTATAAATTCATCCATGCACTAGATTAACACTAACAGTATTCTTACAAAATGTTCCACGTTTTATTAAATACACCCCAGCCTTCTCACAACTCTATTTTGAGTTAAAACCAGCCATGATAATTCACCAATAATCTTAGGTGAAGGTCTTGTTGTCAAATTTGAACTGTTGGAGTTGTGAATCATAGGCACTGCATAAGTTAAAAGCAAACATATATCTGTTTTTGTATAAAGTAGAAAAGGGTCAAGTATTGTCTTAATATTATTCATTTATAAGCTGTTCACATCAAACACTTGACTTAGTTTAAATTGACAATTGCATTTAATATGATTTGCACTGGTTTAAGTTTTCAGTGCTATATCAGCAAGGTCCCCTGTGGTGTTCCATTCTGTAATACAATATTGATTTATTATTTATTTTCCTTCTCGGTGCTACAAACAGTCTTTTTTTAATACAATATTGAAATTTGCTTTTTTTGTAATGATTTGACCATGAGAACATGGTTTAATAACTTCAGTATATTGTTTGACATCCACTAAGCCATATAGCCTTATTGTTTTTCTTTGGAAATGGGTATTCTAAATTTCTGTCTTGTAAAGTTATGAGCTAATACTTTTCTGAAATGTTCCAGCCCATTAATTTAATGCTTTCCTGGCATTTTTCAGAATATGTGCTTCATAATCGTAATAGTTATGTGTAGCTTGCATCAAAGCGTTTCATTTGAGGTTGTGCTTTTTTAATATTGTGTACTTCAGAAGAATTCTTTTTCCTCTTTTTTACTGATGTAACAAAAATCTAATGAGTTTATAATGAGGCCCAGGAAAATGACTAAACCCTGCTTCACCAATGCTATTTTTAATCGCTACCATGATTGATGTATTCATAAACCAAATGAAAAGGTTTGTTTATGGGAAATTAACTGCTTCGAACAATACAAGGCTTCTTTTGAAACTGAGATATGTGGAGCGGAATGCAGTAAATAAAATGCATTATTGGATTTCTGGAAACTGAAATGTTTTCTTGAAAATCATCTTCAGTTTGAGTTAATCATAATAATAATAATTGTTGCATTTGATATAGCGCCTTAACGCAACTTTGAGACGTCTCAAAGTGCTTCATAGAATATACTGTAAAGTGAATTGACTGTATATTTTGTGAGTTGTAACATCAGCAGCTACAAAAAAATATTTGCGCATAATTATGGTACTTGTGGCAGATTACCTAGCCTGCTACAAGTTGAGAAAGGAACAAGTCCACAAAGCATGAAAGTCAAGTTCAAACACTTCAAACAAGTGTTGAGGATGTTCCACCTTGAAACATGCACTGGGGTCTGAATTGCAAGATTTGCAAAATGCTTTGTATTTTGCTTGTGATGAATATGATGTAATGAATGGTTGATGAGGAAGGGGGGAGTGAGGCTTCCTGTAATCAGGGCACAATATTTGAACTGTAGCCATATTCATATTCTATATGCGACTATATTGCAGCCTTATGGTCTAAAATAGTGTTATCAGGTATCACTTCACACCATGTTAAATGGGAATAGTTTATAACCTATGTATGTAACCTATATAACTCTATGTATTCTGCATAGAGCAGATATGATAACCAGCAATGCTGTAAAAATATTTCTGCAAATGAGTCACCCATGAAATTGGTTGTGAGCAATGTCAGAGTGCAGATCCCAATTACTCTTCATCACTGAACAGGAGATGATCTTTGTTTAACATTTATGTTTCAACTTTATGTTTCAAAAGCAAACCTGGATGTGCATTTAAAATCACATCACTTTTAGAAGGATGCCAGTACAATGATAACAGGTGAATATTTTTCATTCTATTGTGTTACTGGATGAAAATAACTCTAATTACAATTTTTTCCATGTGTGAAGCTTTACAAAGATATAAGCCACCAATGTAAAGATAGCTTGACTCTGACTGCGATATTTGACAGATTGATCCTGATACTGGGAAATGATAATAATAATCCTTGCATTTGATATAGCACCTCATCACGTCTTTTAGACTTCTCAAAGCGCTTCATAGAATATACTGTAAAGTGAATTGACTGTGTATTTTGTGGGTGAAATGCGGCAGCCAATTGCGCATAGCAGTGTCCCACAAACAATCGTGGATTGAGTGACCGAATAATTTTTTTTTGAATGGATTATTACTCCCGGAAAAGTAATCCGCCAATCGACTAACGACCAGGTTCCTACTTACTGCTAAATAAACAGAAGTATGTAGAGTAAGGAAACTTGCCCAACGTTTCGCTGCTTAGTAATCGAACTCAGGTCCTAACCACTAAATTACAGGACTCCACTGAGAGGAATGAATACAAATCATTAAATTAGAAGCATTAAGAAAATATTTTTTTAATAACTTTAATAAAAAAATTGTTTATTGAAGTATACATATTTATTTTGTATCATGTGGTACTATAAATCTTTGAAACTGGTATACGATGTTGCAATTTTTAACCAGATCATTAGGCAGAGCACTTTGCATAAATGGATATTTCTCCTCTGGGGAGGAAAACACTGACATTTTCTACTGGTTCACCATCACATCACACCATTTCCATTCATGGATTAATTTGACTTCTGGATGTGAAACAGCTAAAACCCATTGAATGGCCTAACATTCAGACCAACTATCACTTTGTCAGATGCTGAGAATTGATAGTCACATGAATGATATGAAACAGAAATAAGAAAATAATAAAACCATCTTAGCATGACAACAAATGAAAGAAGCTTAATTTTAAACTTTAGGACTAATTTACCTTTTTACCTTACGTACCTGAAGCAGTTAAAATTTGGCTTAGTGATTGAATCAATATTCCAATTATCTGACTCCAACCAAATGTAATCCAAAGCTTTAAAAATTACAGCTGGTAATATTTCTGATGTCCTTTTAAGTTGGAATAAAACTAATGCAAATATCTGTCAAAATTACACTATGCCTTGGTAGATTGAAAAACAATCAAATGTTAATAGCAAAATAATAGCATTGCAGAGAAATTGGATTTCCAGGTTATTTTTAGACCGATTTGATTTGAAATGCATCAGTCTGATTAACGGAAAGAAAATGCAACTAATGCCAAGGAATTAGCAATGCATTCTGTAATTTACTAATGCATAGTTTAACAGGATTGGCATGTGCCACCATGCAGGTAGACATAAAGGACAAAATAAATTCAGTGCCAAGATGGTTGCGAATGAATCTTGTCATTTAATGTTCTTGAAAATCAGGCACACCGCAAAGTATGCTCACTTTATATTTTTGTGGAAGGTTGTCAGTTGTCATAATGGATTTGAAGATGTAAATAAAATAACCATCACTTTCATAGTTTGAGTTTCCATGACTGTTTAACCATGACTTTCATCTACACAAATACACAGTTATGAGACCTTACAGTGAGTCACTCAAAGCGCTTTCTTTTCAACATTCTCCTGACATGAAAGACACTATATCAAATGCAAGGACTGTTATTCCTATTATTATTGTAACACCTATTGTTTGTGTATACAGTATATTTTGCATAGAGTTCAATTACAAACATTTGCAACAGTGAAGGCAACAGTGTTTTTTGGAAGGAATTATATTTAAAAATGTTTGTATTATTCACTTCTGCCTACGCATCCATTGAAAAAATTAGTTTGTATTATTCACTGTTGCCTGCGCATCCATTGGAAAAAAATAAAAGTATTTGGCAAAAAGAATTAACTGTGATAGATTGTTGAAATAAATCAAGACTAATATTTTATACACAGGAGAAGTTCCATGAAGCTACAATATTTCTTTTTGTGGCTGCAGAATTTTAACTGGATAATGTAAGACATTTTTGGTATTAAAACATTCTATTAGCAGCAATATATAGGAGACTGCCTCTCATCACAGAGGTAAAAGCTTTTGTACTATATGTCAAGAGTGAAATGTGGTACTGTTTTTGCAGCTTTCGTAGAATTCAGCTGAAACACTTTTTTCTAGATTTGAACAAGAATAACCTTGAATATTTCTATTAATTTATTTGATGCTGAAATAGAAACAAGAAGCTTAATCACGTTGCTGTTGAGCTGAAGAAGTCATTTTGATTTTTAACGCTTAAAAATGGTAAGCCACTCGCTCATAATATTTTTTCACTTTTAATCTGAAGTCACACATGATATTTACGTTCATTGCAATAACTAGCTTTGGATGGTCTATTCTTAATACAGC